GCACTACATATCTAGCCTCACATTAGATTCTATTTACGCCAAAAGCAAGCATCAATTACTTCGGAATAAATTGATATTTAATTGCTTCCTAATTAAAAGGAGTTATATTGACACACATACATTCCACAACTATCTCGTTTTGTTGCAATGCAATATTGAGTACCTTGAAGTAACGTTATAATGATTTGACACATTTACAGACACCTCTTAAAAGTTGGCGTCTGAAAGGGTTAGTCCAAAAACACACATTTCGTAATAACGTAAACAGATTCCTCAGATAACATAACTAAATGATTTGCCATGCGGGCCGGCATCTTCCGGAATAGATTAAAGCGCGAACGGACAACACTAAAAAAGAAAAGACGAGGACACGAGTGTTCACTGCCAACCAGTTTTATCTGATAAAAAATACATGAGAATATAAAGATCGGTACCACGAAGGCGCACCGGCACCCACATTAAGTGAGAAAAATGAGAAAGCTTATCCTAAATTGTGCTCGATCAATTGTAACTCACTCACTCACAAAAGTGCCAAGGTTTGGATAACACATGAGTTGTGTATGGGCTGTAGTATGTGCCGTATGAAACCTTATTTGTCCGAATGAACCCGTGGTCTGCCAGTGACAACAAACCCTTTCGCCATGATGATGAAGCATCGGGACGGTGCCTTCTTGAGAGGGAGGCTAATTTCACTGTTATTAGCCGTAAACAGAAAAGGACGAAGAAGCCAGCATCATGAGCGGCAATCTCTGGCGCTTTTTGAAAAAGACGACGTTGCGCGTCTGCTCTTGCACTTTGTTTTTGTATGTGAATAGAGCCTTGCTTTCAACCTCGAAAGGAAGCCTTGTGTCCTGTTCTATGCACGTTGCGACAATATATGTTCTTAACTAGGGGTGTCTTGCACCGCCATATGAAGGAACAGTTATATGCCAATAGCATGCCTTTGGCAGTGTCTGAAAAGGGGCATGCGAATAGGTCAGCAATCTCTTCACTTCTTCACTTCACTTTATTAACTTAAAGGCCCTGGTTAGGCGGTATTACATAACGGGTGGGTTAGCAAATGTGGGTTGCAGAGAGTGATCTTCACAACAAACAATATGCAGGTATGTTGTCCGCAAAAGATGATGGACGCGTGATGAATGCAATGCCACAGGGGAGGCCATTCCCTTACGCTGTTGAGCAAAGATGTATTGATGCAGCAAAGACAGTAGGGGGAGCACGTCTGCGTGTGAATGATGAAGGATGGGTCGTGCGGTGAGAAATGCACGATGATGGGATGATGTGAGGAGCTTGATTGAAAGAACTGTAAATAATTTGTGAATTAGACTAAGACTCACAACGAGGTGACGTAAACAAAGATCGGTATCATCAATTTCACTTTTTAGGGATGATATAATTCTATCATATCAGTCTGAAAATGAATGAGTCTGGTGCTATGATTGTGTACCGAATCTAGCTGGTTAATTAAGTATGCCTGGTGTGCGCTCTAGATAGGCGCTGCATACTGTAGTTTTGATCGGTCGAGAAATTTGTTCGCGAGAAGTACTATGTCTAGGGGTGCGTAACACAAACGACGCATTAGATAACCGAGGCACCTGTTCGCGGGTGATATAATGTTGTTGATATGTGCGTTCCAGGGAAGGTTAGATGATATGGTGACACCTAGGTATTTATATGGTTCAAGATGTTCAACAGTGGTATTACAGATTAAGTATGAGGATCATAATGAGTGACGCTGCCGAATAAATGAAATGACTTTGCATTAAGTGGGAATAAGCTTCACGGGCCAAAGATTACACCACTGTTGCACAAGATTAAGGTCCTGATTGAGGACAGTTTGATCAGCAGTGTTAGTAATTGTGCAGTAGATGACACAGTTGTAAGCAAATGAACTAATATTATATGATACATGAATGGTCGGTTGCTAATATATATTAGTAGGATGAGGGTTGAGAATCTCGTCTGCTGAAGAAAATAGGGTATCATGCAGTCAAGCGCATTACTTATGCATTATGGGATGCGAAGCAGCTCTTTGACTCACGTGTGTAACGCCGTACTTATGTGCATCCGTACGAACACGCCACAACGCGCTCACCTCGCCGTAGTAGTTGGAGTAGCGCTATGCAAGTCACGTCACCGCTACGCATGGATGTAACGCTCCTCTCACATCCTTACTTCACAGGAGCTCGCCCTCGCCATCGCCTGACGCCGGCAAGAGCTCCCGCTGAGTGGGCCCGTCTCGGATCTTTTGACCGTGTCCGCATCTTCCTATTTATTATTTACTTCTTTATGTCACTGTCCGCATCTTTCCTATTTCTTCTTTACTTCTTTATGTCACTGTCGCTGGCCTCATCTCTATCGCTATTTTCTATTTCTATTCCTTCTAATCTCTCCTTACCCCCATTCCTCAATAGCCACTGCTGAGGTGTCGCGCTGTGAGCAGACAGTTACGGGGCTCACTTTTATCTTCGTTTCTTTCCTATAGAATCACTTACTGGGTCACCAACGCACGCTTTTTGTGAACGACAGCATCACCGGAAGGGCGTTAATTACGCCATCATCATTGAAAAAAATCACATTCACTGGAAATGCGCACGTATGTGTCAGCTCTGCTGCTTATCGGTTCAAAGCGTGCTGGGTTTGTTGTACCAACCAAACACTGTTATTCTCCAGCCAACTGGAAGTTCAAATGCGTGTTATACTTTCGCACAAGGGAACTATTTTTTACCGGGTGCTATTGGTCATCAATTAGTAATTGTTGGCCATTTCGGTATGCGGTAAACAGCACCTCATGTTTCTAAATGAAATATCTGCCGAGTTCCTGCACAGCACTGTAATTAAATTGTACCATTTGTGCAGTTATATAAGTAAACCTTATCTACCAGTTTACATGCATCTACAGAAAGGCGCTTTCTAACAAAATGTGATCACTACCGCATCTGCATGAAACACTGTGTGTGAATCAAAATGCATGTGATATACAGCACATACGTTAAACTATCCTGGTAAAATTTACTCCTGCCCTGTTCCTGTGAGCGTTTTGGACCTGTACCCATGGGATTAAATCATCCATATCCTTGTGAAATAAATCCTGGAGGAGAGTATATGCTCTTAACGAGGTGAAGTCTGGCACCACCACATGAAGGAACAGTTATACCAATAGCATGCCTTTCGCATTGATATGGCAGACACCTCTACATGCGACTACTGCGGAGCTGAAGGACCATTGAACACGTCCTGTGCAGCTGCGCTTGCTACGACACACAGCGATGCCAGCTCGAATGGTTTTGAATCAACTTGACTCCAGACCATTTTGGGTGCAGAAGATTCCAGGACCTTGGGCATCTGCCTCAGTTGCGCAGAAAGCGACTAAAGCACTTCTACTTTGCTTAAAGTAAACAAACCTGAGCGACCACCTGTAGACTGTGTGTGCTCCCGAGTGTGCTCGTGATGTGTGTACGTTCTTATCTCTACAACCTCTTTTATCCACTTCATTCCTTCCCAGTGCAGGGTAGCAAACCAGATGTGCGTCTGGTTAACCTCCTGCTTTTCTTTGCATCTTATCTCTCTCTGACAGGGTCTGAGAAGGGGCATGCGAGTAGGTCAGCAATCTCTTCACTTCTTCACTTCTTTATTAACTTAAAGACCCGGTTAGGCGGTATTACACAACGGGGTGGGTTAGCAAATGTGGGTTGTAGAGAGTGATCTTCACAACGAACAATATGCAGTTATGTTGTCCGCAAAAGGTGATGTACGCGTGATGGATGCAATGTCACAGGGGAGGTCATTCCATTACGCTGCTGCGCGAAAATATACTGATGCGGCAAAGACATTAGTGGGAGCACGTGTGAGTGTGAATGATGAAGGATGGGTAGTGCGGCGAGAAATGCGCGATGACGGGATGATGGGAGGAGCTTGATTGAAGGAACTGTAAATAGTTTGCGAATTAAACAAAGACTGACAACGAGGCGACGCACACAAACATCAGTAACATCAGTTTCACTTTTTAGGGATGATATACTTCTATCATATCAGTCTGAAAATGAATGAGTCTGGTGGTATGATTTTGTACAGAATCTAGGTGGGTAATAAGGTATGCCTGGTGTACGCTCTAGATGCGCTGCATATTGTAGTTTTGATCGGATGAGAAATTTGTACGCGAGAAGTACTATGTCTAGGGGTGCGTAACACAAACGATGCTTTAGATAACTGAGGCACCTGTTCGCGGGTGATATAAGGTTGTTGATATGTGCGTTCCAGGAAAGGTTAGATGATAAGGTGACACCTAGGTTTATATGATTCAACATGTTCAACAGTGGAATTAGAGTTTAAATAGGAGGATTATAAAAGGTGACGCTGCCGAATACTGGAAAGACTTTGCATTTAGTGGGATTAAGCTTCATGGGCCAAACATTACACCACTCTTGCACAAGATTAAGGTCCTGATTGAGGGCAGTTTGATCAGCAATGTTAAAATTGTGCGGTAGATGACACAGTTGTAAACAAATGAACTAATATTAGACGATAAATGGATGGTAGGTTGTAATATATATTCGTAAGAGGAGGGGTGAGAGTCTTATCTGCTGAAAAAAAAAGGGGTATAATGCCGGTAGGCGCATTATTTATGCATTATGGGATGCGAAGCAGCTCTTTGACTCACGCGTGAACGCCGTACTTATGTGCGTCCGTGCAAACACGCCACAACGCGTCCACCTCGCCGGAGTAGTGGGAGCAGCGCTATGGAAGGCACGTCGCCGCTACGCATGAACGTAACGCTCTCTCACATGCTTCCTTCACAGGAGCACGCTGACGCCACTCTTTTACTCACCCGCAGCATGATCGTTGCAGCGCCCACAGCTTCCGGCTGCTCAGCCCGCTCGCAAAACATTCTCTTTCGCTTCACCTCCTCCCCCACCCGCAACGTTCGACCGCAGGTCTAGTTGAAACACTTTCGACTTGTTTATCTGCGATAAATTTTACACAAAACCCAATCCGCCACTGCGTCTCTGCGTTTCAAACAAACGTTTACTCGAGTAAACGCTGCACTAAGCTTCGTTTCAAACCGTTCTTCTACCACCCGCATCGACGCCCGTTTGAACGGGGCCAACGCCTTGCGCCCCACTGCTGCTTCGCATCCCATCAGAATTCCCTTTGGGGATATGGTTCATAGTTTTCTTTTTTGTTTCTTCTTTCCAGGAGCTATGATTATGAGTATGTGGATTACACACCAATATGGAAAAATAACAAGAAAGTTAGAGGGTTCACGTCTTTTAATAAGAGTAAGCAATCTAAATTTGTTACATTTTCGATTCCAAACATACAGCAAAACAGCTTCTCAGTTTGGGGCATTCTGTGCAGCTAGGTATTGAGATTGTATTCACTATTCTAGCTTTTATGATATGTGGCAGTATATAAAAAACAGCATGATTAATGCGTATTCTGCAGGTAATTAGGAAAGCTCACCAACACACTGGTTCATATTGCTATGAAATACGCGCCTCCGATGCGATGTCTGAGAAAAAGCGTAAAGAGGTAGGCCTTTTTAATACCAAACAATTCAGCGCGAGAAGTCATTGTGTCAACGCATCTGCTTACTTTTTTCATAATTTTGTGCACATTTCATTTTTATTCCACTGTCATAAGAACCACTTAATTATTCACTGCAAAATGCAAGCGCTTGGTTATACTAGCGACAATCTAAAGTCGCAAAACAACAATATTATTACGAGGGACACCATACAGAAGTGCTCCTGAATATCGACGATATGGTGTTGTCATGCAGTAACTCCGAACAGAAGTACGTGCAGTCAACTGTATATCAAGTTATCCAGTCGATGGCAAATGGGTATACAGTACACATTAAAATGTCTTCATTTGTTTTTGTTTTTTGCTCGAAGTAAATTCAGTCATTTCACTGATCGTAAAATTTGATAGAGAGTGTTCTTTTTATTGAAGTGTGCTTCATTTTAGGGTAAAAAAAAAACAGACATGGAGACAACACCCATTGCTGGGCCAGCTTGCTTGCATGTTTGCTTGCTCGCTTGATCTTTCTTATGTAGCTTTTACACACTTCGGGGAATTAGCTATAAAAACAGTGGTCAATATACTGAAAAGTAGACTTTAGCTATAAAAACAGTGGTCAATATACTTAAAAGTGGACTTCAGATGAAAGAAAAAAAAGAAATAATTTGCAGGTTGCTGACTAAAAATTGTTCATTTTAATATATTTCATTTTGTAATGCGGTATTTGTCTTTATATCGCTCTGACTGCACGCGCGCCAAAGACCTGTGTCACTTTAGACATCACACACGGCCGTGACGGTTAATGAGTGGGGCATCGACTTTCAAAGCGCGTCCTTTGCACCAATTTACGGGTGATAAAGAGGACGTCGAAGTACGTCCTAGCTCAGCATAATGTGTATATATATTTTGTTTGGAAAGTATTCGACAATAATGTCGCTGAACACAGTACGTAGGCCGACTCGTTTAACGCGATGTGTGGGGAAGCTAGGAGGAGGAAGTTTTTATAACTAGTGTTGCGATTCCGTAAATATTGTGGTTAAATTATTTTTAATATGGCTCAGATATATATACATATATATATATATATATATATATATATATATATATATATATATATATTATATATATATATATATATATATAAATATATAGCGTGCGTATGTGTATGTGTGTGTGCATGAGTGCGTGTGTGTGTACGTAACAATACGGTGGCGGGAAAAGAAACCAGCCAAAAACGTATATTATAGGCTATTCCTCAGAACAAAAAATGAATGAAAGAAAAGTAAGACAGACAAAAATTTAGTAGGTCAAGCTCTTCCACGGGCTAAGCAACGCCTACCCTAATGTTACTCAACCAGCAATGTCCTGAATCCAAAGCAATTATGAAGGATCAATGAAGATGTTTAATTACGAAACCTTCTTTTTTTACATCCAAGAAGATTGAAATAGTGGTACCAAAGTACCGGCTTAATGCGACGTCACAGCTGTATTCGGCCCGTAGTTTTATGATGCCTGAGCGGCTGGTCCCGCTGCCGTGAAATGGTTTACCTCATATCAAATAACTGCGGTATATTTAGTTGCTCATTAGTAACCATTTTCTTGAATTTGCGAATGAATATTGTAAAAGTTAAGGAATTCTATGGTTATTTTTTTCAAAATCGGTGCTTTAGTATTTCAAACGTGTTCAACGTCTACAACGTAACCGCTATAACTATGACAAATCAGTTTGTCAAGACATCTTTTATTATTGCGATGTTTTTATACCACGGTTCCTGCGAACAATGATGACAGAAGTTGTTATCAGGCTGGCCTATGCTAGCATATTGTTTGGATTAACAAATATACCACAGAAATCTATAGAACCCCTACACAATATAATAAAATCACCTTTGACCAATTAAGGTATTGCTACATTTCTTGTTCACCAGATACATCTGCGCGATGTTATTTTCCTAAAAAAAGAGACCTTACATCGTGGTGTAGTGTTGAAACGTTTTCTAAAACAGCTTAGTATTTAGGACGTGCTTGAATTGCAGGCACTGGTGAAAATACAACGTATACGCTTCACCACGTATATAAGGATTGCGCTATTGTAAACAAGACAAGGAATACAAAGAGAGAAGGTAAGTACCATATACTAGCTCAAAATTAGAACGCGATATGTGAAGGAACCCCGCATGAAAATTTAATTGTTGATACGAGCACACGAAGAGGCTCATTTGGCATTAAAACGTGGGAAAGATTTCATGAGATATAGATACATCGTGGCAGTGCTGTTCGTGGACACGCGCAATAGCTTTTTTTATTAAACCACTACATAGATATATCGACAGTTGTCAAAAGAGGGCCTATCCTCATGCGCTAAAGATATAAAACTGGTCGAAGAATCATGACTGAATATAACGAAACGAAGGGATACTTGTTAATGACATCGTCGCACTCTTTCTAGGTAGTACAAATGAGTAAAAAGGCGTACTGGGCCTTTACTTTTTCACGGACAACGAAGGATTCTTTTTGGTTAAAAGTTGCCTGTACAGCACAACGACCTCGAACATTGCCAAATTCTCAGCCTCCCTACGCCTGAACAGCACTGCAGTGCACACCTCATTGTTTGAAGTGGTGTTCTACACAAACTTGATGAGGATGTTAGTGTTACACTCACCATGCTGATTGAAAGGTTTTCTTTAGTTAGAGACATCAGCATGCTTTAAAAGCGACCTGTAAATGTTATGTGGAGGCGTGACCTCGAATGTCTCATACTTCAGCAGTAACAACGTTTATTTCAAGAGTGGCAGCGTTGAAATTTCAGCCGTCAGACTGAAATGGGGGTGCTTTTTCATGTGGCGTTGCTTTGCTGTACTGTTGTTTGTGAGATAATCTTTTTTCGTGAAAGCGTACATCGTTCTTTTTAAAACTGCACTTGTTAAGATAGCGCAATAAAGAGTTTGCATTGATTTGACTGTCATTCACTTCCGATTGCAAATCGTCGTTTCATGGCGCAGCGTGAAATATCCTATATTCCGAGAAAAGTCTGACGTGTACAGCAACTCATCGGGAAATCGCATCCACATATCAGATTCTACCAGTGTGAACAACATTATGTTGCAAGTTTTTTACGCATCCCGTGTCATGATGGGGAGGCTACTGCCAAAGTGCTGCACGAACAGTCAAAAACCGCCTGCCCAAAACGGCCGAGAAATCAATCTTGAACTTACTGCAACTCATTAGAAGTTTCGCATAACTTGAACTCAAGGTTAATTGTACACCATTACCATTTCTTTTCCTGATGCTTGATAACACAGTTATTACATCTGCTCAATTTTTAAGATTTGGAGGGCTCACTAACCTTCCTTATCATTAATGTCCTGTGTCGTCAGGGAATCACACAACCACACCGCAACTTTAGAGACGCCGGCAACGCAGGCTGACCTCTTTCTAGAACCACTGGCACAAAGATTTCCTGTGGGATCTTAGAGTGTCTGTACAGACACAATCAGGCAAAGATTAACTATGCTGGTCAATACATCGCATTGAACCACGATGCTATGCACCGTGTTCACATGTTCTGGAAAGTGATAAAAATTCGGAAGTCACAAAACAGTAGTTATGGACACGTTAGAGTATGAGATGTGTGATTATAAACCGCATTACGCCACTGATACTGCTTGAGTGTATGCTAATATTATATAGGTGAAATTATCGGATATACGGTGGTTGATAATTATGGGTGGCGTGGAGAGGTAGACAAGAGTAGCAGAGTGTGTTCTTTATTAAATATAGCCTCCCTTTTACATTTCTAGGAGCCATCTTTGGGCGGTATAATGCTCAGCCCCAAAAAACTGAAAAATTACGTTTGTCATGGGCAGAATCGGTCTTGCTAAATGTTTTTCTAACTTTAATTATGCAGAGCATTAAATTGCGACTGAATAATGATCATTGAGAAAAACAAGTCAGTGACAAAATGCAAGAAAACGCCACTTCAACACAAGACACCCAAACACCTATCATAGCGTACCTTGCACAGCACCACAGTTGAGGTGACATGGTGCGTATACCTGCATGAAGCATAAATAGAAGGACTGAATACTACAGTAGGTTTCCTTTGATTATGAAAAGAGAAAATTACTATAATGTATTATCGTCCTGCGATATAAATGTTCTCTGGGTCAAGGTATGTAAATCAGAAACCGCGGCTCTCAGCCAACGTAAATATAAAAAAAAACACACATGTGCAAATTCTTGATTCAGTTTTACTCCCATTACAATCTGAGTGTTGCTCACAGAATACAATATTATTAAAAATATTCGCTAAATAATGATAGACGTTTTCAGACAAAGATGATGCAACGGTACTAGTGCCTCTCTGTGCACTGAACGGTGTCGGAAAACGTATTTTTGTTAGGAAAGTTAATCAATAACTCTCTTTTGACAGGTTACAAGCAAGTATGTGAAGTGTGGTTGAGCGATCAGTTCTTTGACAAAAACACCGACGGCCTCAGATATTGCACCACAAATTTCTGGAAGTACTGCAAACCCCATACCCCGAAACAATACTTTATTTTCGAGTGTGACGAAAAAATTGGCAAAGTTATTTTAGTCTAGTGAGCAAGGTCACGAACTTATAGTAAATAATATGAGTAAGTCTTTTTGTGAGCAATATCTCAATAAAACATTATGAAGCGTTGATTCATGAAGTATTTACTCTTGTGCAGGGACGTGGACAGAAATTATTTCAGGGAGTTACCTCCTTGAGTTCGCGGGGGCAGGGTGAAGAGATATTTTTGCATGGTCATTATTTGTTCATTATGCCATTGCGTGAAAAAATGGGGGTCGGGCATGCATTCGACGTGCCAAACTCTGGCTACGCCACTGTTTCTGCGAAATCAGGACGTTTTGTACCGTAAGCTACACTCGCCCAGATTGAGCAGTTTCGCGTGGCTTATAGAGAGCCGCGCTGAGCATGCCCGAGGAGCAGTGACATTACACGTCGTATAGCTGGCGCGCCAGATAAGAACTGGAAGCTCCTTAATTGACGTACTGCTAGTGAAACACAAATTTATTCGCATGAACTCGAACACTAGTGCGTCTGTCCGAAGCTCACGTTACATATACCCTGAGATAGTCGAGTTAAGTCACTGCTAAGTTTTCTAGTTAGGCAATTGGGCATAATGCTTACAGCAAAGTTTCAAATATGCCTCCATACTTACTGCCCTTTTGAAAGCAATACAGTTGATTTGATTTGAAAAGCTTTAGAGACGACATGATTATTGACGTATTAACATCAATGCCAGAATATTTTCAAACGTTCGGGCCTAATTGAGTAGTTTTTGAAGTTGCGCAGATGACCGCTCGTCGTTGTCTTCATAACAAAATATTATTCTGTGCCTCTTGTTGATTACTAGTGAAAAACATCTACCGGAGAATTGACTGATAGCCTACAGATTACTCTATACGATCTCTATAAAGTCATCCGTTACTAGCCTAGTGACCATTCCACTTTCACATTGCAGCACAGTGGCAACACAGTACTTCTATACCGCATCTTTCAGCAGGTGGTAACCATAATGAAACAGCGTGGCCAAAAGAAGCACAATAAATGCCAGAGTGGTCTATTCGCCTCTGGATTTTGGTTTCGCGGGGGACGTTAGCTCGGGGACTGCACTCTCAACCGCACTACCGTAGCCGCTCTTCCTTTGAGTAGATCGTTTGCTTCTGATTGGAACTTTTTTAAACAAAAAGCCTGGCGATGGTCAACTGACGCCTGCAACGAATGTTTTTGAGTGCAATGATGAACTTGTCTTGGTACCGACCCAATCGACACAGCCAGGAAGTCCAACGAGCATGCCCATGCCACTGACTGCAATGCTTTTACGAAAGTGAAACTTGTGTGAGTGTTCTCGCTCGTAATCTGCAGTGTCCTCCGTGCGATACTAATTCATTCGGGTGTGTATTTCGATACCTCGATAAACGCGTCTCTATCTAGCATTTAAAAGTATGCAGCAACAGCTTGCCGAATATCGCGGTGTCTCAACGATGGCCCGGTTGTGTACGACGGAGGCTACGTTATTGAAATCGCAGTCCAGGCCATCATTGAAGATTGCATCACCATTGCGGATCTGGTCTTGCAAATAAGTGGACTTGCGAACCCACCAGACAAGGTCTCCATGGCAATCGAGTTCTAAGCGAATAATTCTCATTTACCTTCTCTCGGTAAAGAGCGTTACAAACACTTACATTTTTTCTCTGTGTGTGAGTGTGCTTCGGCCACCCGTGAAAAAGACGTTGCATTTTAAAACAATCTTGAGGAGAAGGGCACGCATGCTCTCGTCCTTGTGAAAATTGCTGATTTCTCCCATGCTCGCATTGGCAAACAACCCATGATATAATTACTACAGAACAGCTCCTGGAATTGCTGCTTCGGCAGTCAATCATTCGTACATGGCATCTAAATATTATTTAAAGTAGCATAAAATTACCAAACTTCAGATAATAGTGCTCAGACAGCTGATAGGGGCGTCAGCTGTCTATCAGCTGTCTATCAGACAGCTGATAGAGCACAGCTGGGAACCAGCTCGTGCTCTATTGCAGTGAGGGGGGTCTTGAGGGGCAGGCGCTGGTGTGGTTGGGAGAGAGGGCACGTTCCGCCTCACTGCGCGTCCTGGCCGATGCATATGACTGCAGTTGGTGTCGGTTCAGTGAGAGTGACATTACAAAGTAGTCGTATTATTACTGCGCAAGGCTATCACTTGAGTATCAGAATACAGCGAATATTTATCGCTGAATATATATATACCGTTCACAGGGCCACAAAAATTAACGTAGCAAATGCAAGCTGGATGAGTTTAGGTTCCCGCGCGTGATAAAAAGAAAAGCTTAAGGAGCTGCGTGTGCAGTGTCTGCACTACATTAGGTGAAAGCATTTAGTGAACCTGCACTAAACAGTGACTGCAGGTTTCAGTTATAAATTTGTGATAAGCAGTGAGCTTCGTGCGCGTTTGTCTTGATCAGCAAACTGCGTATGTACGCACGCACACCAACCAAATAAAGCCGTAGACTTATATATCTTGCACCGCTAAGCTGTGTTCACGAGGTGCGCTTACTCGGGGCGATATAGAGGCTGTGTCGTCGGAGGTCTTCGCGGTAGGTTTTGGGAACCTTCGTGGTATGGGGGCCTTCACGGTTGTTTTTGAAACGTCGCCCCTCCAGGTGTAAGTCTTCCACGCTTGTAGCCACCACTCATTGAATGGCTGAAGTATTGGCAAGGCGCTGAAACAGAGTTTCAAGCTTATAGAAGAGTGGCCCATAGAGAAGGCATAGCAGAAATAACTGCCAGAAAAGTGTTTGCAGCACATGCACGGTGTACGAAGGCATGAGGTGCCTTTCTATTCTGAGTTTGACTATCCCCTTCTTATTTCCACTTCGGGTACTTAAGATAGTTAGGAAAGCTAACTCTTTTGTTTATGGGTCTGTGATTTCATCAAGGCACTAGCAGTACTTCACCAATACCCAGCACTGAGGGCAGATACAAGCGGCCACAGTCTCTGCCGCAGGCTTCTGCCTGAATGAGAAGCAGGTAACCACGGAAAAGTGGCCCAAGCCAACAGAATCAGAAGTGAAAACTAGTTTTGCTTTGCAATAAGCAAATCCCGACGTTTCATGTGCAACTTGGACCATTTATCGGGTGTCACTGTGAGGCGGCACAGAAAAACAGAGTTAATAATGCCTTCTCTGCGAGGCAGAGAAAGAGGTGATTAAGCTTGTTTTGGTCTACGTGCCATTGTCCATCGCATTACAGACTCGGTAGCGCACCTGTAGACAGGTTGGTGCTTTCGGGTGTTGCCTAAGTATACCAGGACCGCGAAAAAAAAGATTTCCCACATCCATTCCCACTTATGCTGGGAACTGACGTTATGTGAAGCATCTGAAGGGGAGGTGACCGTGTTTTAAATTTTTCATTGAGCGATACGTGATGTATTGACGCTAAATGCGCACATATATATGTTCAGCAGTCGCAATATTGGCACATGACAAGTTGTTGGCACTTGCGCATTGGCACCAACAGGAAAATGAGTATAAAAAACACCAGAACTGATAACCCGATATGAACCGCTAGTGCACGCTAGGATGGCAGCCTTAGACACTGCTTTATCGGATTGCCACTAACTATACTATTGATGTTGACCCGACGTGACGGCTGTATCATAGGAGACATATATAATGTTCAAAATATTAGAAAGCTAGTACTGGTCAAGAGGTTTATAGGATCTATTTTAAAAGTAGTTGCGACACCTTGCGTGACAATGTGGTAGAATATGTGATTGCCACGCAGAATGATGTGGGTCTATTCATGCTGGTACCTTGACACTCATTCTTCGTATTGGTCGGCTTGACCCCACTGATGTCAGTTTTTTCTTAACTCTCGCGCGTTAAAATTACCCGCATGTGTTCTCTCCGTTCCTGCGTAGATCCTAAGTGTTAAACCCCTGTGGCACATACCCCTCGTTTGTATGCGCCATCGTTTGGCGGAAAGTGTTTGGCGGCGTATGCGACGGGATTGTGACATTATTCATGCCTTGATCAGCGCTTCATATATTTCAAACCATCCTGACCTCCCTTAATAATTTTGGTTCAAGCCTATTGAGGTAAGAGGTTCATCACGAGAGCACCCAGACGTAGCCCCACCGTGGTGGTCTAGTGGCTAGGGTACTCGGCTGCTGACCCGAATGTCGAGGAATTGAATCACGGTGACGACGGTAGCATTATTGATGGAGACGAAAATGATTTAGGCCTGTGCGCTCAGCAAGGGGTGCACTTTAAAGAACCCCAGTTGGTCTAAATTTTATGAGCCCTCTATCACGGTGTCTCTCATAATAAAATGGTGGTTTTGGGATGTTAAACCCCACATATCTATCAATCAGCACCCAAACTTAGGTGGTTAGACACATAGATAGATAAATGATAGATAGATAAATAGATAGATAGATAGATAGATAGATAGATAGATAGATAGATAGATAGATAGATAGATACCCAAAGTGCTTGCAGTACACAAAAAATGCTTCGCATTTAAAACCTGCTTGTGGAAACTTCGAAAGCTTCGAAAGCTCTCGAAGTTGATTAATAGGCGTAAGGTATTCGATGTAAGAAGGTAAAAATGAAAAAAACTAGCCACCCTGTTTACGAAGTGTCTCCTGACAGGAAGAATACCAGAGTCTTGGAAAAATGCTAACACCAACTTAATACATAAGAAAGGAGATCACAAAGACTTGAAAAATTAGAAGCAGATCAGCTTGCTCTCTGTAGCAGACAAGCTATTTACAAAGGTAATTCCTAACAGAGTAAAGAAAACATTAGAATTCAATCAACCAAAGAAACAAGCAGAATTTCGAACAGGCTACTCAACAATCGACCACATTCACACTATCAATTAGGTAATAGATAAATGCTCAGAATATAGCCAACCGCTATACATAGCCTTCATTGATTACGAGGAGGCGCTTGGTCCAGCAGGAATATCAGCAGTCATGCAGACATTGCGGAATCAGGGCGTCAATGAAGCATATATAAACATCCTTGAAGAAATATACAGGCAATCAACTGCTACCGTAGTTCTTCATAAAGAAAGCAACAGAATACCAATCAAGAAGGGTGTAACGCAGGGGGACACAATCTCCCCAATGCTCTTT